AGTAGTAGTAGTAGTAGAAAGAAGAAGTAGTAGTGTGGTGGGGGTAGTAGTGGCAGTGGTAGTGGTAGTGGTAGTGGTAGTGGTAGAGGTAGAGGTAGAGGTGGAGGTAGAGGTAGAGGTAGAGGTAGAGGTAGAGGTAGAGGTAGAGGTAGAGGTAGAGGTAGATAGAGGTAGAGGTAGAGGTAGAGGTAGAGGTAGAGGTAGAGGTAGATGTAGAGGTAGAGGTAGAGGTAGTGGTAGTGGTAGTGGTAGTGGTGGTAGTAGTAGTAGTAGTAGCAGCAGTAGTAGCAGCAGAAATTCTCGTCGTTATAGTCGTACTCGTAGTCCGGGTTTATCAGATTGTGATGCCCGCTGGAACCATTGTTAACCTCATGTTGTATGTTAGCTGCTAGTGTTCGAAATATCCTCGCGCTCAATCTCCCCGTATCGCAGTCGCCATGTGCGAAGTCTGCGTGACAGGATCCGTGTTCTTGTAGGGAGGTGCCGCAGTGACGCCCCATCAGCCTGCTCAAGAACCTTCGAACGCCGCTTGCTCTTCTCGGCCGTGGCCCCTCTCCGATACACGTTCGGACAAGGAGATGTTGGCTGCTATCCAGGAGTGCAAGGGATGCCGATGAACGCCTCTACCCTCAGGATCATGTTGAACAACACCCAACGGGGCCTGAAGCTCCAGGTTGGGTTGGGAGGTGAGTGGAATGCCAAAGTGGATGCAGAGCTCCTATCCCTCCTCGCTGAGTCCAAGAAGGACCGGAATTTCAAGGAAGGTGGACATTGCAGACTTGAAAAGCTTCGTCACGGTCGATGAGGATGGCACGGTCGAGAGTCGTCGCCACGACACACGCTTAGCTCGCAATCAGATGCGTGCCGTCGCATCCAATGACACGGCCAAGGATCCCTTCATTGACTCGCCTGACGATTCCCGCAGTGACTCGGAGAAATTCTTCGCGTTGGTCAAGCTCTTCTTCCAGGGTGGTGATCATGCTGAAGACGTGGTGGCTGTTGCGAAGAGGACAACTGTCAATATCTTCACAGAGACAGCGAGAAGCGCGAGGCCACCGTGCATCGCATAGTGGCAGATGACCTGCGCCGCGATCTACTCTCGCCAAGGGATAAGCACCTGCTTGGAAAGTACAAGATTGGACAGTTGATTCAGGGGGAGTTCTTTGCCGACGATGTCGACCGGGAGCAGGCCTGATCGACTCCGCGATGGCCGGCTTCCAGATTTTCCATGTCAAGGACGATTGCGTCAACCGCGTCAGCACGCAGCTCCAGATGTGGCTGACCCCAAGCCCAAGGTCCGCGTCCTTCCTTCTTCGCCAGACACTCCTCCTGCATGATGCTGAGCCTTCACGCTCTGCCTTGGTCTGCCGACAGTGTTTCCCGCCATCGGCGCGGCTCCGAAGGTCGTATTGGTTCCTGCAGCTACGACAACAAGCAGCGTCGTATCCGAGGCAAAACCAATGTTGACGCCGAGAACAATATAATTATCACTGGAGCACAACTCGAGGAGGGGACGAACCCAGACCATGGAGAGACTCAGAACGCCTTCGCGCCAGACGCTGTGCCCCCATCAAGCACGATCCCGCCGAGTCCGCCCGGAGATGCCATGGACATCGCGGAAGACGCTGCTGACGAGGCCGAAGGCCAGAACATGTTCGAATGAGCCGAGCCCTTGGATCCAGCTTGTGATTTTGACTCGCTGTATGATGGGTATGAAAGACATCCGACAAGGCTTGCGACACGTTTTCGTGACCAAGGCTCAGTAGCATGTCAAATGCTATTCACGGCACTTTGAGATCAGTCAAGTCTTGTTGTAGCCTCTGTCGCAGCCATGGTGAAACACTTCAGCCCCTTTCCCGACCCTAAGAAAAGCAGAGGACGGATGATCTTGAGGATGCCTGCGGGGATCAATGCAGCATCGTGGTCCAAGGTCCCTTACCAACACCGCAATGAAGGAGGGGGTTTTCTTCGCAGGGACCAAACAAAATGGCGTCGCACCTTCCAGCCTGCCAGCAGCTCCTGAAAGCGCCGGACATCCTTATGAAGGACAAGTTCCTGCCGAATTGGGAGGGCTGTGTCTGTCCGTTCTGCAACAAGGGCGTCTGGGGCCACTGTCTACCAGATCTCAAAGGGAGACCAAGGCATACAGGTGCAACAAGAAGAGGTGGATCCGCTCCTGCTGCATCCTATCTTCACTCTGGTTCGTGGTGGCCTGCTTCGACAAGTGGACCCTGAAGCCTGGGGCGCAATCGGAGGAAGACGCCAAGCGGGGGAAGAACACGGTATGGGAACAATGGGGATGGTGCAGCGTGGCAATCCGAAAACCTTGATACTGTTCAAGCTTCGTCCTGGCACCACAGTGACGCGAGCACCGGGACCGGGTGCGATTCGCAAGGTGGATTGCATGGACTCCTTTGCCCAGAAGTGTTTGGAAAACAGGTGTGTGATCTTGCATTCGGATTCGGCGCGGTCATACCGTAGCAATGCTCACGTGATGCCCACACGAGCACAAATCCAAACGAATCTTCATGTCTTCTGCCTCCGGCTCTCAAACACACGAGACAGTAGATCCCTGAGGGGGCGGTAGCATGTCTATATATATATATATACACACTTATTTATGTATACGTCTGTGCGTGTGCTTGTTTTCATTTGTTCGTGTCATGTCGTGGCTGTTGTAGTCGCGATCCGCGGTAGCGGTCGCGATCATCACCGAACATAGCATCAACAGCATCAGCGGCATCAACATCTCCAAGTTTGCCAACATCTTCCTGTTTGATAAAGATAACCTGCAATGGATATCAGTCCGACTCCCCAGCTAGCTTACCCTAAGTTCATACTATTCGTCCACACTCCTATCATTACCGTCTTCATTCTTTTCATGGCCGCGATGGGTTTGGAGATAGGCGTATGGGTGGAGGTTTACCATACGTGGCTTTCAGTTTATTCGAACATTATTCGAGCAAGAGCTGGGAGTCTTGCGTTCTGTTCATAGGATAAAACCCTGTAGCAGCGCCTTAGAAGAAGTTATCATTCTGTACTATGCTATACTATACTATACTATACTGTAATGGACCATACTATACCACACTATTGTACACTATACTGTTCTATACTCGTAAGCTACCGGGTACTGTCTGCCCGACGTGCATTCGGAACTCGGAGCGTATCTGCTTGAGGTTGCCCTCGTGCGCATCTGCAGGAGTTGCAGGACAGGGTTTAGGGTTTAAGGTTAAGGGCTTGGGGTTGAGCTGTTTAGGGTTAGAAAGAGTGGGGTATTTCTGGTACAATCGGCGCTGACATCCGTCTGCGGGATGCGTAAGCACTCCAAAGAAGCAAAAGTGTCTTCATGATCAGTCCAACCTCCTAGAAGCCATGCTAAAGTTGGCGCTCTGAGAATGACCTAACTCGACTAGGGGAGTCCTCAGGATATGATGCCGCAGGGCACCAAGACGCAGATCTTCCGTTTTGTTTGGGGGCCGTTCTTTAACGCAGGACTTTTGACTTCCAATTCCTATACTAGGTAGGGTGCATGCCCAGATTCAGACGCTCCATCAGATTCCTAAGTCCATGTAAGTCCTACGCAGCACCTCTGTGTTGTTGAAGCACTCATGCGCACGAACTTGCGGCCCCCACTTGCGAACCTCCACAAACCGACTGCACTTTGCTATAGCCTCGACGAATTAGGTCCCCAAGTCCTTGGAATTGGAGCGCTGAGCCTCGCGAACCTCCAAGCACCAAACGATGAACATAGCTTTCCAAGGTTCCTCTCTTCTTGAGTCTTTAAAAGAAGATGTTTGCTGTTTAGACTTTAGCGGCAACTTTAGCGTATTCAGATTAGGGTCTCTGTTTGATGAAACTACAGATACCTCGGAGTCGACACTGACTCCCAAACTCTGAACCTGTAACTCCCCAAACTCACTACCACCGTACCTCTGACGCTACCGCTTGCGTTGCCGCTGACGCTACGGCTACCCCTCCTGTCACCACTACTGCCACCACTACACTATATACCACGACCCCTACCGCGACCACTACCACTCGAACGCCTCAAGCTAAGGCTCTGCACTAGCGACGGAGCGGTGCCCAACTTCCTGGCACGGCTCCTCGCTGTGCGCGGCGCGGAAGCGGCTCCAGGTTGGCTGGGCCTGGGCCTTTAAGGTTTAGGCTTCGGAGTTCAGGGTAAAATCCGAAAATGGCGAGAGAACCGGTGACACGCCCACTGAGCAACGACTAATTAAGCGAGACAGGCTACAAGATCGCGGGATTGAAGCAAGGGAAGAAGTCTCTGCATAGTAAGACCAAGGGCTGGTACTAAAGATCCTGACCTCACCTTCGAACGGTAACCAGCCGCAGAATAGTCGACGTTTGTGTCGTGAACCCTGAAGCCCAGGACCCTAAGCCTCAAGATCCTCAAGAGCAAAGCTCGAGTCCCCGGATCCGTGCAAAAGCCGCATTCCGCTCGAAAGGGTGCTAACCATTGCTATCAACATCAACATTCTTTCGATAAGTATGAAGACGATCGTTCGTATTGCTGGCATTCCTGCTTTTACTGGCCACTACTTGCCACGATTACAAAAGTCACTCTTTTTCTCGAGACTTATCCCCGAACCCTAAACCCCAAACCCTGAACCCCAAACCCTAAGCACTAAACCCTAAACCGTGAAACAAGTCCGACTCTCACTCCAGCTTCATCGGAGCCGGCAACCGAAGCTGCTGCAGCGGCAGCTCACTCGGGCCGCTGGCCCAAGTGGTAAAGGGAACTCTTCTTGCATTTGGAGTTTAGGGTTTAGGGTTTAGGGGTTTAGGGGTTTGAATTTAGGGTTCAGGGGTTTTAGGGTTTGGAGTTTTAGAAGGCTTCCATAGGATTCTTAAACCGTCTAGAGGGTGTCTGCTTTCGGATTTTCCAAGCGTTCCAGAAGGGTTCGATGGTTATGATCTGAGGGTCCATGATATAGAGTTGAAGCGTGTCCGGTTTTAAGGTTTCCAGCTTTGGAGACCTCTTGCTTCGGCTAAGGTTCCGCTTGTTGTTTCCAGCAAAGCTTCGGGTTGTGGTGAGTCAGGGCCTTGCAGGTTCAGGATACATCGGTACGACAAGCAGTCCAGCAGCCCTAAACCCTAAACCCATGGGGCTCTCTGTGGATTTCGCTGCAGAAAAAGGCCCTCAAAAAAAGACAACCCTAAACCCTAAACCCTACACCCTAAACCCCAAGAAAACAACACTAAACCCTAAACCCCAAAAAACAATCCTAAACCCTAAAGGCCCTAAACCCTAAACCCAATCGTGTTGCCAGGAGTCCGGGATGGCCTGGACCAGCTGGTGGTGGACGCCCTCACGGCCGAACCGCCCGGATGTTCGCATCGCTGATCGGTTTAGGGCTTCAGGGTTTAGGGGTTTAGGGTTTTTGGGGATCTTCGTCTGAGGTTTAATTAGAGTTTTGAGACTTTTGGGCATCCATTTTCCTGCACATGCTTTGCGAAACCCAAGAAGGAGGCAGTGAAGCTTCGATGTTGCCCAACATGTCTAACCACACTGCTCTCTGTGCATGTGGCTTAAGTCTGCCTGACAGAATGGACCGATCGCATGTTGGACCCAAGAGCATGAGGTAGATTTGTTTACTTTAGACTTCCGGATTTTGCTCGCATTTCAGTGCCGACGATACACTTTCTTGTTCTTCGAATGTGTGATATGTATATACTGTATCGTGGCGTGCATATGTGAAGCTCCCTAGCAGATCAGGTTGCTAATAATGCCCGCATCACCTCAGCATGGTCCGGACAATCATCGCCATCGAAACGCCCCACAAGCTTCACTGCGAGCGGTTTACCCTAAACCCTAAACCCTAGTTGATATGCAGACGCAAGAAGGCCCTCAACAAAAAACAAAAACCCTAAATCCCTAAAGTCCCTCAACCCCTAAACCCCTAAACCCCTAAATCCCTAAATCCTTAAATCCCCAAAGTCCTATTTGTTGGGGGTGGCCCGAGAAGCGCAATAGCCTCAGAGCCTTAAGCTGCTCCAAAAACCGAAACCCACCTAGGTCTACATGAGCGGCTGGCGGATCTGCAATGGCGGATCAGCCAAAATGGAGGCACTGTTACTAATACAGTACAACTTGTAACATACTGTAATACCATGTACTACAATACATCTTTTTATATTCAGCTATAAGTTGATATATTACATTATCTTAGACTATCATATATACATGTACTATGATATAACATACTACAGCATGGTGCAAAGTACCAGACACTACTATACTAGACTATAGCATAATATGATATACTATACTATGCTAGACTATACTACGCTACACACTACACTGCACCGCACGACGCTATACACTGCAAAACAAAGCTATACTATACCACACTATACAACCCTGAAACTAAACTGTACTATGCTGTGCTATCGTTGTGATTTGGGGTTCTTCTGAATGCCCAGCCACGTGCTGGTGAACCTATAAGACTCCTAGAAGCCCCAGAGCTGAAGCCGTAAGCCTTATGTGGGGGTTTCCGAAAATAGGGGACCCTAATATAGTACCCTAAATAATAGGATCCTTGTTATAAGGACCCCAAAATAAGGTACCCAAGTTCTCAGAAACTCCCATGTGGGGTTTAGGGGAGTTTGGGGGGTTCAGGGTGTAGGGTAACCCCGTGGTGAGAGTTTCAGAAGGGATCCCCACAGAGAGGCGTAATCACCAGGATCCTTGATACAACGGCCTCTTGCTGGGAACGCCCATACTATTTTGGGGGTTCCTTTTTATAATTGTAGTATAATACACCACAAAACCCTGTTCCAATTATTAAGGCTCCTCTCTTAAGAATTTCACTGGCACTTACAGCTCTGCGACACTTGCGATGGTGGTGGCACCGGCTGGTGGGCTGCGTGCATGATAAAGAATGCCCAACCGTGCCCACATCTTGGAACAGCCGCAACATAGAGAGCTTCGACCCTCAGTATGAATTTGGACCTGGGTAGGGGCAGATGCAAAGCGGTTTGCATACGTGTCGGATTTTTCGAATGGCTCGCTGCGTGACAGTACCTGTTCATGCGACCGTGACCACCAACAGAAGACAATGACACTGGACACGTTTAAAGCATGACACTCATGAGTGTTATGTCGTGCTTAAACCCCGAAACCTGAACTCCCAAACCCCAACGGCCCAACCCCTACAAGCCGAAACCCCCCGTAAGCCCTAATCCCCCAAAGCCTAAGCTCCTAAACACCTGAAGCCGCAAAGCACAGGAGAGCGAGCCGGTCTCCGTGCTGGCAGCAAGCCGGCAGATTCTCGAGCGACGAGGTGGAATGAATTGCTTGCTCTTGAAGAGAGCTGTTCTTCTTCATAGCCTTATTCGTGTTACCAAGAATATGATAGTAATATGAATGCCAGTATTAGTGTTACGACTGTTTTTGTTGTGGTTGTTGTGGTGCTGATGGCGGCTAATATTGTCATCTTTTAATTATGGTTCAATAATTGGAGTTTTGACCAGGCTTGCCGTGCTCTCACTCGGGGGCTTTTGCAGATTTGTCATCATCGTCGTCATTATCATGGTCATCATCATCACCACAATTTCTATACATTTTTAAGTATTGGTCTTATTGCTATTCTTCTGATCATTATTGTTGTTATTGCTTTTCTTGTCGTTATAGTATTAGAATTTCTTATGAGGAAGAGTATTACTATGAATCGTTTATTTTTGGCAGTACTTGTACTAGAGCTTTGGCAGGACGCTCCCCAGCTGGCGTGGGCCGACCCCAGCCGAGGCAAAAGCAAGGCTCGGGCCTTTCGGGCCGCCTTGGGAGGGCATTTTGGGGTTTCGGAAGATAGGGGTTGAATTGTGGGCTGGGGAGCTGCGGATTTGAGATATTTTGAGCTTCGGCTTGAAGTTTAAAGCTTTGTTTCGCTCCATGCTTCTGACAGTCCAGGTTTTTACGCTTTCTGCGTGGCGCCTCAAAATGATGCCGGACTGAAACAAGCACGACTAGGCGCTATTCACCACTAAATTAGTCGTTGGTGGGGCTGCTGTCACGGAAAGGAGTGCCTGGGTGAGTAGGCAATCTCATGATTTGATACGAACTCTCCTACAAGTAGAGGGGATGTAGAATTCAGGCGGAGATCTGGGGGTTGGTGTGTGCTGAAGCATACTGTTGTGGCCTAGACTATGATGAGTACTAGTGTTGTTTTGCCTTTTATGAGTTTTTGCCGCCTTGCGAAAGGGTTAAGTCGCCCAGGAAGAGCTAGAGCTGAAAAGCCCCAAACCACCATGTCTCAACCACCCTGAAGAATAAACCGATGCTTTAGCCCGAAGCAACCCCACTAAACTCCCCAACCTGGCACTCTCGAAACAAGCAAAGAGCTCGCAGCAGGCCACGACCTGCAGGAGCCCAAACTCCGGCTAGGCCCAGAGAGCGAGAGATGCGTAAGTGTTGTTATTGCTATCGTTCTACGATGCCTCTCGCAACTCCTAGTGCCATGACCCTTCCCGTCACACTACTTGTTCTTCTTTGTCATTGTTGTCATTCCTGTTGTCCTTAGTTCATAATTTCTGCTCTTCTGGTCATTATACTACCATTATTATCATCGGTGCTGCTATCATCAATGGTAGTTTTATTGTCAGCGCGATCACTACCAACACTATTAGCATGGGCATGAAAAATCATGAGCAATGACGACTACTGCCATTGCAGCTGCGGCTGCTGCTGCTACTACTGGTACTGCTACCGCTTCCCGCTCGCTGCTCCTCGCCGGCGCTGCCGCTTGCTGCTGCTCCTGCTACTGCTACTGCTACTGCTACTGCTGCTACTCTACTCTACTCTACTCTACTCTACTCTACTCTACTCTACTCTACTCTACTCCACTCCACTCCACTCCACTCCACTCCACTCCACTCCACTCCACTCCACTCCACTCCACTCCACTCCACTCCACTCCACTCCACTCCACTCCACTCCACTCCACTCTACTCTACTCTACTCTACTCTACTCTAC